AAATGGGTCAAGTTGACCCGTGGCCCGACCCATATGACCAAACGGGTTAGTCAAACCCGGTAATGAGTCGAACCCGACCCGTAAGAGTCAACGGGTCAGTCAAACCCGGTCAACCCAACCCGTAAAGTCACACGGGTCATCAGACCCGACCCGAAAAGTTAACGGGTCAACTCGGGTCGGATAGACCCGGTTCAGTGTGAAACGGGTTGACCTGACCCGTATTGTGTGTGAGCGCGTGACGTGCGCGTGAAGGCTCCTTCGGGCGCGTGGGAGCGCGTAGGCTCCTGTCCGCGTGGCCGCTTTTGGGCGCGCGTGGGGGCGCGTGACAGCTTCTGTCGGCGCGTGGGCACGTGAAGTATTGTAAAAAAATTTTCTTTTGATGTAAAGATAAAAATGCATACTTGGTATATTGTTATGAGTCTAATTTTGTTATTGAACCAAAACACGTGTATTATTTATCAAATATAGTCAACCTTTATTTGATAAATAAATAGTTTTTTTTGTATTTGTTACAGAAAAATTTTACGTTATAGACGTGCAATGGTTGCTAGAACACCCGCTCAAGGGAAAGGGTTATGAACATGATTAGAACTCTACAAACTCACACATTGATTTTAAGAGACACGAGGATGAGTTGGTGCAACTCGTAATCATTTCATTCATGTGAATGAAAAGATTCAAGAAATTTGTCTGGATGGGGGATTAAAGAGAATGAGTCGAAATTCCAAGTTCTAAGAGAGACTCTTGGTTACCCTAATCTCGTTGGTCTCCTTGATATGTTTTGGACCAGCTGAAAGTTCATAACTTTAAAGATGACAATAAAATTATAGACGTTTGGTCAACAACTATATCAAAGAGTACATAGATTGGGGTGCAAAAGGACAGTTGGGGCATCTAGGAGTCTCCACTCGTAAAGGACATCACAGAAACTGGGATTTCCCCTACCTAGGGTTAATTACAAGTTAGATAAAGACCTTAGGATAAGGATTATCAGATCCTTCCCAGTTTTAGGAATGTGGCTGTACACTTAATTTTTTTTATTGTGTTTTGGAATTTGTTTGTTTTAATTTTATTACAAGTTGAATTCTATTAACATAATGAAATTATTTTTGTTTATCAAAATTTAAAATTTTGTAATTGTGTTTTGATTTATTTTATATAATTGTGTCTAAATAATTTTTAGAATTGCAATTAATTATATCTATGATAATTGGAAATTGGAAATTTTGGATGATGATTGTTGACATTGTTAACTTTTGATTCCAAATCAATATACAATTATTATTGGTATAATTAATTAATGAACATGTATGTTCCGAGCATTGAATAACATGCATTATCCACGTGTAATTTTGTTTAGAAATGGCATCTGCATCTAAGAACATTGTCGTCGAACTTAACAAAGGAAAAATTTAACGGCGACAATTATGAGATATGGAGCATGAAATCCAATATGTTTGGAAGAACAGAGAGGTTCTTGAAGCTCTTACTACAACCATGGAAGAGCCTGAAGAGGGTCACGGCTCAACTAGACGAGACCGTGCCGCTTATGACATAGGAAGAAGAAATTCCACTGTTCGCATTACTTTGTTGAGCAGCATGGACAATGACTCATGAAGAAGTACCGGGATTATGAATTAGCAAAGGAATGTGTCCGCACTTGCTACAAAGTTTGGCGGTACGTCCATTACCAAACTCCGTCACTCACTATCAGTTTGACACATACAAGAAAAAGCCTGAACATACTATGAGATGTACATTTACGGCATTTGTCAACATGATAAGTGAGTTAAGAGATGCAGGTCTGTCCTAATAGATGAACAACATTCAAGCTGTCATAAATCATTGCCTCAAAATTGAAACATATGAAAATACACCTTACCCACAATGAGGGCATCAGAAATTTAGAAGATGCCATACGCCATTTGGAACTGGAAGAAGATCGCCTTAATGCGAGTAAGGCAAATACTGATGTGTATATGGCTGGTTCCAGTTCACATGTGGGAAGGGATTTAAACATAAATTCCAAGTGATCCCAAAGAAAAGGCAATACTGAAAAGGCTCAAGGGAAGAAGAAAGTTCTTCAAACACGGAAAAGGAAAGCATCCTGCCAGGAAGAGGAATATGGCAAAGGTGAAATGCTATAATTGTGGTAAAAAGGGACATTTTGCTCGCGATTGTAGCGAGCCGAAGAAGGTAAATTACTTGTTTGCACAAGTAAGTTATAAATGTTTCCAGTTCTGTTTTTCTAACTGAGTCTCATCCTTTGTGGACTGTAGATTCAGCAGCAACAGACCACATAGCGAAAGACAGGAGTGCTTTCGTGGAATTTCGACGAATACCACGGGAAACAAAATGGATATATGTAGGTACAATTCAAAAGTGGAAGTTAAAGGGATTGGCACATGCAATTTATCATGAGTGGAGGTCGAATCCTACCTACATGACGTGTTATATGCACCCGTATTCGTCGAAATTTGATTTCCGTGTTAGAACTTGTTAAACTTGGTTTTAATTTAAATTTTTCCAGTACTGGTGTCCATTTATTTTGGACACAACATACTATGGTGTGGGTTATTTTCCGATGGTTTTATAGTACTTGATGTTACTTATAATAATAGTAATGTTTGTTTTTCCTTTATTACATCTTCTAATAATGATGATGTGAATGTATGGCATGCAAGGCTTGGCCATATTGGCCAACACGAATAATATACTAGCAAGAGAAGCTTGTTAGGATCTTTAACAAAAGTAGACTTGACTACTTGTGAACATTGCCTAGCTGGAAAAACAGCAAGAAAACCATTGGAAAAGCGTAAGAGCTGAAGTTCCATTGCAACTATTCATTCTGACATATGTGGTCCAATGAATGTGAGGCTGAGACATGGGGCTATTTATTTCATCCACATTTATAGATGATTTCACTCGATATGGTTATGTTTTCTTCTGATTTCTCAAAAATCAGAAGCTTTAGAATGCTTTCAAAAGTTTAAAAACTTAGTGAGAATCATTAGATAAAAGATAAAGTTTCACGAACCGATCGAGGACGTGAATATTTATCTGATCGGTTCAGAATTTTTGTGATGAAATGGGCATAGAACGTCAATTACCTATTCCCAGAACTCCGCAACAAAATGGTTTGCAGAACGAAAACAGAACCCTTCTTGAGATGGTGAGTCTATGATGGCACAAGCAAACTTCTTGCCCATCACCTTTTGGGGTGATGCCTTATTGACTGCCACATATATCCTCAATCGAGTACCATCCAAATCTATTACTACTACACCATATGATTATGGACAAATCGGAAACCCGATTTGAGTCTCCTAAAGCCATGGGGATGTTGCTGCCTATGTTCATGATCCTTCCCATAAATATGAAAATTAGGTCCAAGGGGAAGAATGCATCTTTATAAGATATTCAAACATTCAAAGGGATATGTCTTCATAGGAGAACAAGAAAGTGTAGCATCACTGAGTTTGAATCACGAGATGTCACATTCTTAAAACCGATTTTCCTAAGAAGGGCGAAATAGGTAAAGACTTGTTTCTATATGAAACACAAGACCAAGGCAATTCTGTTGCTGACAATCAGTTGGTTATACTACATCCAGTGGGAGCAATATGGAAGTTGATGAATCAGTTTCGATCCTCCATCATTCCCTACTGGTGATCCAACTATGATAGCTGGTCCAAGTGGGAGTAACACCAATCATTCTCCAATACGTCGATCAACAGGAAACAAGTTCCACGTCGACGATTTGAGATTGAGGGGGAAATTTTTCTAGTTACTCCACAAGATGACAAGAGCCAAATGTTAAATGAGGCTCTCAATTGCCCTTCTAAGGAAAAATGGATGAAAGCAATGGAGAAGAATTGAGTCTAGAAATCAAACCAAGTATGGGAATGGTTGATTTACCGAAAGACGCAAAGCCATTGGGAACAAATGGGTTCTCAAAATCAAGCGTAAAGCTGATGGCAGTATTAAGATAAAGCTCGCTTAGTCCGAAGGGGTATACACACACGAAGGAATAGATTATGAGAAACTTTTTCACCTTTTGTACGTTTACCTCAATTCGACTTATTCTAGCTATAGTTGCTAGCATGGATCTTGAATTGCATCAATGGATGTAAAGATGCTTTTCTCAATGGAGAATTACAAAGAAATCTATATGGATCAACCAATAGGTTTTATTAGAGAAGTCAAGAACACAAAGTGTGTAGACTTTTAAGTCAATTTATGGCCTCAAGCAGTCCTCAAGACAGTGGTATTTCGATTTCATAATGCGATAATGTCGTATGATTTCAAAATGATAAATGAAGATCATTGTGTATATACAAAGAGATCCAATAACAAATTTGTTATATTATCATTATATGTTGATGATATACTTATAACTGGAAATGATAAGGGATTTGTCATGAAATCAGAATGGGTTTCATCTCATTTTGAGATGAAAGATATGGGTGAAGCTGCATATATTCTTGGAGTCAAGATTTCAAGAGATCGCTCAAAAATTAGTATCTCTTTCACAAGAATCATACATTAAGAAAATTCTTGAACGATTTCATATGCAAGTTGTAAACCCATAGACAACCCTATCGCAAAAGGCAGACTTTAAGTCGTAAAATGTGTCCGAAGACTCCACAAGAAAAGGAACAAATGAAGAATGTTCCTTATACAAGTGCTGTTGGAAGTCTCATGTACGCCATGATGTGCACTAGAGCCGACATCTGTTATGTCGTTGGTTTGGTAAGTAGATACCAGTCTGACCCAGGACAAGCACATTGGAACAGTGGAAAGAATCTTAAAGATACTAAAGGGACAGTTGATTACTCATTATGTTATCAAGAAATGATTTACACTTGAGAGGCTACACCGTGCTGATTGGGGAGGAGATTTAGATGAGAGGAAATCTACTACTTCGGATATGTTTTCTTACTAAATGGGCGGGCCATATCTTGGACAGTAAAAAAACATCATGCATAGCCTTATCTACAATGGAGGCTGAGTTTGTAGCATTTTCAGCTGCAGTGCAAGAAGCCGTTTGGTTAAGACGTTTCATGAATCATCTGGGAATAATTAATGTTGCTATTGAACCAGTAGAATAAACTATGATAGTCACAGCAATAGCAACTAGGATCCCAAATATCATGGTAAAACGAAACACATAGATATCAAATATAATTTGGTGCGAGACTTGGTGGCACAAAAGGAGGTGAACATGAAGTACATATCTACGCATGACATGTTTGCGGATCCATTCACAAAGCCTATACCGAGAGATACTTTCAATAGACATGTTAGATCTCTAGGCTTACGTAGGTGTTGAATGTACTCATACTTTGAGATTTCCCAAAATTGTTCACATTTGTCTTATCAATATTAAATAACAATATTGTCAATGCTCAATTTTGATTATTATGGAACATACATAAGGAGCATATATATACATATTAGTTATGTATATTATATATGTCTATTTTGAAAAGCATGTCGACAGCTAAAAGTTGGCCTTCTCACACAGCCAATCGCCTCCATTACTTCGTAGGAATGGAGATGGACGATTTTAAGCTTATTACTAGTGATAATAAGAGAGCCAAGCTTAAAATGTTTGACGTCGCCTAAACGAGAATTAAAATAATGTCATAATGAAATGTGACCACAAGTGATAAATGATCACTTTATCTGTCTAATTGCCAAGATAGTTCTGATGAATTAAAAGTATGTAAGTGAACTCAAGTTAGACATTAGGCATGTCTGAACTAAAATCTGTACAGCATTTACAGAAAGAGACATGCACTCCATGGGAAAGGAGGAAATGCTGTAGCATGTGATTCATACCACATGTGCAAAACATTGACCAAAGGGGTAATGAAGTCAAATCTCACTTTAACATTGTTGAGACCCTGAGTTTTTTTTTGAATAAAATCTCATAGAATACCCTTATTACTCTATTCTGTTTCTTGAAAACTTCATTTAATGATTGCTATCTTAGAGTGTTACCAAGGATTAAGATAAATTCAATCTGTTGAGACATTTCTAGAAAAGCAAGTTAAATAAAGTTGCAAGAATCGAGAAAGAGGAAGATTACGATTTTGAATTATCACATTATAATCACGTGTATTCATTGTCGACCAATTATGTTTTACTTTTATGTAAAGATAGAACATAATTATGAATACAACGGATATTTTTTTGTAAATGAGATTGTTAGAAAAATGTGATAAGTAATCTAGGGTATTGCATACAACATACAACCTGAGTTTCACAATTCGAGAAGTTATATATTCCTAACAGATATATGACTAACGTGCTCTCGAAGTATGCATGGTCACACGGCATATTTACTAAAGTATGAACCTTAAAGAAGCATAGAGAGAGTAGTCCCATCATGTGTGAGTGGGAGATATTGGATAGGGGTACACCCATGATGGTTTACCCCAAGCGACGTGGGTGAGTGAAACTGCCAAATGCAGTTTCTCCTAACCGCTGCCTATAAAAGAAAACCTTTTCCTTTTAGAAACTTTACGAACACTGTTACTCTAAAAAAAAACGAAAAGGAAAAGAAAAAAAAGGAAAAAAAACAAAAAAAACAAAAAAAAACCAAACACACCCCAAAAAAAAAAAAAAAAAAAAACCAAACAAAAAACAAACAAAACAAACAAAAAAAAAAAAAAAAAACAAACAACCAAAAAACAACAAAGTACCCACCCGCAGGCACACCCTTGTGGAGTACTCAGACACACAACAAAAAAAAAAACAAAACACATCCTCTCTCTCGTCTCTAAAAAATTTGAAAACCAAAACACTTCTGACTTTCTTCCCGATTAACTTTATTTTGCTCAGAGATGGAGTATAGGTTTTTCAGCTGTGTAAATTCATTGTAGTTCATTTATGTACAAATGTGATTACAATGGTGACTATGATCTTGGGATAATGTTAGGATATATGTTATTCTATGTTATTTCCAACAAAAACCATTACAGCATATTTCATTTTGCCGTTGTGTATCGTCAGCTTAACATTTTCAATATTATATATGACATAGGTTCATTTAAGGATTTGTTGGTTCAGAAGACAGATGAAGAAGGGAACAACATCTTGCATTTGGCCACAAAGGTTCCAGCAAAAGATAGACACCACACGGAATCAAGTAAAGCAGCCGTCCAACTGAAAGAGGAGTTGCTATGGTTCAAGGTGCACACTCCAATCCCTAGTTTGGAATTTTTTTTATTTTTTTATTTTTTACTTCTATTAATAGATTTTGCGTAATTAACTGTAGAAAGTGAAGGAAATTTTGCATCCATGGGATGCTGAAGCTAAAAATAAGGACGGGAAAACTGCTAGAGCTTTATTTATTGAACAGCACCAAGTGCTGAGGGATAAAGCTGAGAAATGGATTAAGGAGATGGTAAACGCATGCCTTATGGGGGCAACAATTATTGCCACCGTGGTTTTTGCCGCAGCTTTCACAGTACCAGGTGGCACCAAAGAAGAAACAGGGTCTCCGTATTTAGTTCGAAGAGCTTCCTTCATAATTTTTGGAATATCAGATGCTATAGCATTACTATTATCCTGTTTCTCCATACTATAGTTTTTATCCGTTATCCATTCCCGATATGAAGAAGAAGATTTCATTTTACGGTTGCTTTATGATTTGAAAATGGGATTAAGCTTATTTGTATCATCAGTAGGTGCAATGATGGTAGTGTTTTGTGCAACTATGTTCATTGTCTTCCAACATGGGATGCTATGGGTTCCTATTCTTATAACGACTATGGCTGTTTTCTCATGCTTCGTGTACTGTGAGAGATTACTGAGGGCCATTGTAGATGTACCGCATCCTCCCACAGCATCTGGAAGTCCATTTAAGGAAGGGAAATAACTCACAATATTACAAAAAGACTTGAACAGTATTATTTAAAAATGAGTGTTTTTGGCTTTGTCTCTCATTATTCACTTATTTACATCAATGGAATATAATAAATGATTAGCTCGATTGTTGTCATGTTATTTATTTATTTATTTATTTTTATAGTGAGTGTTTTGAATGTGCAAGTTATATGTTTGTTTGTTAGGAGTATTTTTCATCGTCTGATTATAAATGTTGAGTGGTTTATTTTTATAAATTTTAATTATCTTACAACTAGTGTTCGTTATTATATAGTTTTATATTTGTATGTTTTAAACAATTTTAAGTATTCAAATAATGAAAATCATGGTGGCATTAGCGCTTCTTTTTTAAATGTGTCCCTCTTCCTAGTAAAACGAAATAAAGATATATATATTAAAGATAACTATGTTATTACATTGTTTATATAACATTTAAAATTTTATTATAACAAAAAAAAGTTAAAATAACTAAATTAATTAGATTCTTAAAAAAAATGATTTGCAATTTGATCTTGTAATTGCTGCATGAACACTTGATTAGTTAGTCCAAAGAAGTGGCCTGCATTTTGATGTTTGATTTTGATATGCAACCATAATAAATGAAGAACAATTAGCATATATGTATATATATAAAGAGTAAAGGACACCTTCCCACTCGAGGTTTAACGAAATGGCAAGTTGATACCCTTGGTTTCATTTATTTCATATTCCTACCCTTAAAATAATACCGTTGATTTGATAGTGATGGGGTTAGCTTATGGGCAGTAGCTGGGTGAGGACTTTAATCAAGTAGTTTATGGGTACTAATTTGGGCTTTGATTTCCGGGATTGATGTATGGGCCAAAAATCATCTTAGGCCTTATTAGGCCCAAGCATGAAACATCTACAACATAGCCCAAGGCCATGGCCCAATTCCGATTAGACCCATGCCAAAATCCATATTATGAGCCAACCCATTTCATCAACCAGACAATTAACAAGTGGGATTCTCAAAACATTAAGGCCTTGCCACCAATTGGGCCTCATCACCAGTCCACTTGGACCTAGGCCCATCGATTCAGGATAATTCCAAGAACCCAAAGTTCTACTTAAACCCTACTTCATCCACCTCCTATTTTGATCTACATCTTAATTCATTTAAGATCCCGAATCTTGTATGAATTAAGACTCTTACTCCTACGAAAGTAAGTAAATCAAGTCTTTCCTATTTATTGGAAATCAACTATCACGGACTCATAGTCCTACTAAGATTTGAAGATCTTATATCCACTATATAAGCAGAGGTCTTGCCTCTCATTAAACATCAAATATCAATACCACCTACTTGCTGCAAAAGTTCTTGCTCCTAAGAACTAAACACCTTCGTAGTAGTTCTAGTTTCCAACTAAGATTCAAGTAACCCTTCTTTCCCTTAACAATTACTAAATAGCCTCTTTTAGCCTTATTGACTTGAGCGTCGAAGTGCCTACGACAAACACTACCCTAGTGTTTCCTGTAAGCTTCACACTTGTTTCTTTGTGTGTGCAGGTCCAGTATATCATCAGTGGCCTCAATCTCACAGGATTAGTCTTTCTCTGTAACCGTAGATTTTTACCGTCTATAATTGGAGAGTCACCAATGGCCAAAAAACACATCACAACAACCATATGATGTCAGAGAAGCTAGTGGTGAAGTCTAGAGATGTCGGTTGTACCCAAATCGATTAGAAAAAGCTTGAGAAGTAACCAAATCTCACAAAGTGGCAAGAGTGAAGGTGGTCGAAAACAGTGAGTGTGGTCTTACTATGGGTTTCATAGAGGCGGTTGTGGGGAGTCCAACGGTGGTCTCAAAAGTGATTTTGGACTTCGGAATAGGTTGAAAAAAGCCAAGAACCATCGGCTTAGATGCTACTAATGTGAGCTTGCCTCTTGCCAAAAAAAGCGTCGACGTACTTTAGCGTGCTAACATGCGATGTGCTACAGTGCATATGCATTTTAGGAAACGGTGTTACTTTAAGGGTAGAAAATTAGAATAAATGAAATTAGAGATATCAACTTGCCATTTTGCTAAACCTTAGGTGGAACATGTTGTTCACTCATATATATATATATATATNTATGCAGCAATCACAAAAATACACAGACTTGATTGTGAATGATCTTGCTTGATCGTAGGCTAGATGTGCTCTATTCAATCTTGACCTTGATTCTTGCAATCTGTCTTTATACGCCCCCGCAAGATTGAGCTTCCATCAGCAAGCCCAATCTTGTTTCTCAAAATTTCTGTTCTTTGTCTGGACAATGGTCTTGTCAACAAGTCTGCCAATTGATCTTGGGTATGAACATGTCTAACTTGGAGAGAGCCACGTTGAACAAGATCACGCATAAAATGAAGATCGATTTGTATATGTTTCATGCGTGAATGTTGAACCGGATTAAAGCTTAGGTGCGTAGCACCAAGATTATCACACAGTAGCAAGGGGGCAGCTTTTAGTGGAAAACCCAGCTCATGAAGAAGAGCAAGAAGCCACATTGTTTCGGATGCCACATTTGCAAGACCTCGATATTCAGCTTTGGTGGTAGATCTTGCAACTGCTCTTTGTTTCTTTGAGCTCCATGAAATGGGATTTGAGCCTAAGAAGCTGATATAGGCAGATGTGGAGGTACGATCATCAACATTTCCAGCCCAATCGGCATCGGAATAGGTAACTAAAGCTGGAGTTCCAGATTTTGTGAGTTGTATACCATGGAAAAGAGTTTGCTTTAAGTAGCGTAGGAGCCCTTTTGTTGCTGCGAAGTGAGTGGAGGTAGGCTTGTGCATGAATTGAGACAATTTATTGACTGCGAATGAAATATCTGGACAGGTCAAAGAAAGATACTATAGGCTGCCAATAATTCTTCTATATTCCGTGTTGTCCACATTGGTTGTGCCATCAAGTAACTTGAGTGACTGAGTTGTGGAAAGAGGAGTGGAGACATCTTTGGACATACTATCATAACAGTTCCAGCAGAAAAACCTAAAGCCTTGTTAATGAAATATTATCAACATAGGCACAAAAAATGGTCATGAGAAACACATATTTTACTGTAATAAACAAGAAACAAACCTAAAGTCTCGTTAATGATATATTGTCATCATTGGCACAAACAATGGTACAAATTACAAAGTTAATCACATTTCTCCACCAGCAAAGTCTCATTTATCAAACCCCATGTTCAGAGGCTCATCAAATTTTAGTTCTAAAGAATAAGTTATCACAAAATCATTCCTAGCCAATGAAAGAGTATAAAGCAAAAAGCTTTTCCATCTTTGGAAACCGTGGTTACTTCACTACATAGTGCAAGACGACCAAAGTTAGAACCATACAAGGAAACATAAGGATTATTGTGGCAAGTGCTATTTTTCATAATGCTCTGAATAATAACCATTGCAATGACTTCTTTTGTTCCATTAACAAGGTGGTCCATAACTCTGGGATAATTAGAAAGAGTCAATGCAGAAACAATATCATTGTATTTTTCCAGTAGAGCACTTAAAAGTACAACAACCTGTTTTGTCGCCTTGATGTCTTCAAGCTTTGGTATGCTGGATAGCTTTTAACACATGCTCCCTGTCAGATCATTTACCATAATAAAGAACAATCAAAGCCTCAGGAATATGTGTACAAAACCCTATGTAAATGAGATTGTATAGATTCAATCTGTGTCAACTACATATATAACATTTGAAATGAAACATACCAACACTTAGTCAACATAATCAAGCCGATCAGGATGAACACGAAGCGTAAATGTAAGAAGAGAGACATACAAAGTTATAGCTCCAAGAATAGGCATGTCAACCTGTGCTTCTATCACCTGCCATTCAAACACTGCTAATAAAAGATCCGTAAAGAATAACTTCATGCTCCAACTTGAGCATACCAACAAGTCTCTACACTTACCCACCCAAAAGAAAAACGAATAAGCAAAAAAAAAGTGAGACATTATCACAAAATTGAATCACACCTCTCCAATATGAGATTAAAAAACAAAAACAAAAAAAAAAATGCACTTGCAAGAATTTCAAAGTGAATTTGCAATCTCAGGGAAGCACACATTTACCTTGCCAATGGCATTACTCAACTTAGCAAAAGCTTCTACTTGCAGAAACTCAGGTAACACTTGAAGGAATAACCATAATCAACAACTTGTGACAGCATAACATGCAAAAAAGAGCATATAGATAACTCACATATGTACTTGAAACAGCAAAATTTGACAACCTATCCATTAGTTGAGATAGCACTGTCTTGATGTCAACTGTTGGCTGAGAATAAAAGAAAAAAATAAACATAAAGAACAAAAGGTCAATATGATACTTTAGTTAATCAAATTGACCCCAACTAGAGAGAAAGGAGAATCCATTCTGTATATATGTATTTAACATACACAAACAACATTTAATTGTATAATTCTCATCAAGAGTTGCATCTCCATCATTCTAGGCTGAGGACGAAAATCAGAAAATTAAAACTATTTGTAGCATATGGCATGTTATATGAATCATGTGCAATTTACACATTGTTGTGATCGTATAAAAGCAACATATGGTGATGGTAGACAACTGAAAACTTTGTTCATGGACTTGGGGATTTGTGTTTTTGAGACTATGCCGGAAAGGAATATTGTTGATACAATACAGTAATTAGGAGCCTTCAAAATGTTTAAGGAGATAATAGCTGAAGGATTAAAACTTGATGAATCTACTTTTGTTGCTCTCCTTTGTGCTTGTTGCCATTGTGACCTTGTTAATAATGGCTTGCAAAAATGCAGACTGCAGTTTGCAGTCTGCCAGCTACAGTTTTGCAAGCTTAGAAATCTAAGATTTTGTGTTAGACATGTAGGATTTCCCAAAAGCACAGAGCAAAAAGCTTGCTTTCCCAAAAGTACTTAACTTTCCAAAACATAAGGCAGAAAAGAGCACCTCAATGATTCATAGCACTAAGTTTAGTTTAATGTTAAGTAAAACAACTTTCAGCACTTAAAAAGAATAAATCAATCTTATTAAGTACCATAATGATTCATTCAAACAGTTCGATCATTATAGAAATCAAATCATTGATTTGCCTGAACCGTAGCTTAGCAAAAATGCAGAGCAAAAATGCAAGAAAATGATTCACCTGAACTGTAGCTTCACTGATTTGCCTCTTAAAGGACGAGGCCTTCCATTTAGGGTTCAATAGGTTATTGGTATTAGAGATTTTAAGCTAAAATTTTGATGAAACCAATGATTTTCACTAGATTTTTACTGAATGAAGATGATTAAGTGTAGGGTATTTTGTTTGAATGAGTAGGTTGGATGAGTTGAAAATGCTTTAAGTGTAGGGTGGCTTCATTGACATAACAAAAATTGTGTAAGAAAGAAGCTTGGACCTGAAATTTTAGTAAAGAAGCAAAATTGAAAAAGTGGCATGAATTGGAGAAGATGAGTGAATAAGGTATTTGGTATGTTTTCGAATTTTGTTTGGCAGGTAGACAAATTTTTTCCCCGTTAAAGTTTAGGAAAATAAATTTTGTTATTATATTTTTATTTAGTAACACTTTTAAGTGTTACAATATTTTAATTTAATGAAATCAATATTATTTCAATACACGCAAATTGCCTACGGGCTGGGACGCGCTGCCCCCTGCACCCTTACCCATTGACTGGGCAACGAGACTCCCGAATGCGTATGTGTGACCCCTTATTGTTGAAGTGGTGGACAACTCCAACACTTGGGAGATGAAACAACACCAAAAAGTGACAAAATCACACCGAGAATTAAGGTGAAGAGTCAAGAAAGTGAAATGGCTTTTTCAAGTGAGATTTCGAGTCAACCAAGCTTACGAAATGTGGATCTGACCTTAGGGAGTATGGAGTAGCCTCTAGGATGTCTAGAAGTTGCCAAAAAACTAAGAAATTAAAGTCATCGAGAAGATGAATGGTCACAGATGGAGGAAGCTTAATGGTCGTTGGAATCTAGGAAGGTCTTACCTGATGACGGCTAGCCATTGGAGAAGGAAAATGGTCATCAAAGGTGGAAGTTGGACAGTCTTCGGAAAATGGATGAAGATGGGTGGACGTTTTTGGCTTTGCATTTAACCTTTCATCTTCTTTTTATACTATTTGTAAAAACATTTGTTTGGTCCCTACATGAATGAGATGTAACAAAGTAAAGCTCAAATAGTAAAATTGACCCCTAAACAATAAAAATGAGACAAAATCAACCTCATTTCATATTAGCGGGAATAATATTTTGTTTTTTGGTAAATAATTGGGTTTATGGCAAAACGTATAAAATGTTACTGTATTTTGATTATATGGCAACATTACAAAAAAGTTACTATATTATTAGGTTTATTGTAACACTTTAAAAATGTTACTGTAGATATATTTTCCATAACATTTAAGAAGAAAAGTTACCATTGATATAAAATGTGTTACAAAAAGTTAAAGTGTTACATATAAAAATTGTTATTGTAACATTTTAACATCAAGTGTTACTATGGATAGTCTACGGTAACACTTTAAGGAAAAGTGTTACTGTCCAGTGTTACTGTAGGCCATTTTTGTTGTAATGAGGTGTGTAGGGTGCCCATGTTCTCTATTGTTAGTAAATTGAAGTCTCTTAAGCCTTTTCTGAGATACCTGAATTGAAAGCAATGTAATTTTACTAGGAAGGTTGAGATTCTTATAAAGGAGGTTGAGTTGATCCAAGGTGCTTTAGATCGGGATCTTTTCAATAAAGAGCTCCGAGACCAAGAAGTTGTTTTCCCAAGGGCATTCAGACTGGCCCTCCTTGATGAAGAAAGATTTCTAAAGCAAAAATCTAAGGTTCTGTAGCTTAGTGTGGGAGACAAAAATTCAACTAACTTCCATAAGTCTTTTCATTCTTCTCAAAATATCAGGCGGATTGATAGTATTATGACATATTCGAGGGAGTTAATGGAGAAAGGGAATATAGAGTTGGCTTTTATGAATTACTCCAAGCAATTGCTTAGTACGGCTTCCTTTATCTTTTGTGTTGAGGGTTGGAAGGATCTTCTTGGTAGTTAGATCTTGATGGCCAATTGTTTTAGTATGGTTTGGCTGACCTCTACTAAGGAGGTTAGGAGTGTTATTTTTACTATTGGGGATGATAAAGCTCTGGGTCCGAACAGTTTCTTTGCAAAAAAATTTTAAAGAGGTAGGGATATTGTAAGCAGTAAAGTTTATGAAGTTATGATTCATTTTTTCAGCTATGGTAGAATGCTTAGAGAAGTTAATGCCACTATCGTCGTTTTAGTACCAATAAAAGATGTTCCCTCTTTGGTGGGTGACTACCAGCCCATCTCTTGCTACAATGTAGTGTATAAATGAATTTCTAAAATTATTGCTACTAGATCAAGAATAACCTTGAAAATGTTGTTGATCAGACTCAATTAGCCTTTATCTCTGGTTAAAGAATCAGTGAAAATATTATGCTTACCCATGAGATTTTTCATAATTATCACAAAAACTCTAGGGCTGCCCAATATGCCTTCAAGGTGGATATTTAGAAAGCATACGATAGCGTTGATTGGGATTTTCTCCTTACTCTTCAAATGTTTGGCTTTCCTAGCCAAATGATTCATTGGATTCGAGAGTATGTGACCACCACTTCCTTTTCGATGGTTGTTAATTGTGAGCTCCATGGTTTTTTTCCTGCGAAGAGAGGTCTTAGACAAGGTGATCCTTTATCCTCTTACCTATTCATTCTCGTTATGCAGTTCTTTCCTTGGTTATTCATAAGAAGATTGAAGAGAACAATGGCTTTAAATTCCATTATCATTGTAAAAAGCAAGAGATAAGCCATTTGTGCTTTGCGGATGGCATTTTTTTTTTTTTTTTTTTTTTTTTGCCATGGTGACTCCCTCTCGGTTAAGGTTCTGAAAGATGCTTTCACGGACTTTGCCCGTGTCTTAGGTTTACATCCTTATCCTTTGAAGAGTGATATGTTTATGTGTCATGTCACAGAGGAGAATTGTTTGAGAATCAACGACATTATGGGTTTCTTGGAGGTTGTCTTCCTCTTAAGTACCTTGGGATCCCATTGATCACGTCAAGGCTTAGGCATAGTGACTGTATGACTCTCATGGATATGGTGGAAAAAAGGTTGAACTCATGGAAAAATAGATATATTTCCTCTATCGGTTGGGTGCGGTTGGTGATTTATGTGCTCTCCTCCATGCAAGTCTACTTAATATCGATCTTCCTTCTCCTAAGTTCAGTGACCAAAGCTATAGAGAGTTTGCTTAAGGGCTTCCTCTAGTCAAGCTATGACCTCGTGAAGGGTAAGGTTAAAGTGGCATGGAAATATGCTTGCCTCCCTAAATCTGAGGGTGGTTGGGGCATTCGCCCCTTGAAGGTGTGGAATGTGTCTCTTATGTCCAATCAATCACCTTTGGAGTGTTGTCTCAAGTAAGAGCTCGCTGTGGGTAAAATGGATCCATACCTTTAGGCTCTGTGGTAGGGATTTTTGGAGCATTAGAATCCTATGGAATGCTAGTTGGAGTTTGAGGAAACTCCTTAAGATGAGAGATAAAGTCCGCAATCATATTGGGTTCAATTTGGGTAATGGTAACTCTAGCTCACTTTGGCATGATTCTTAGCATCCTTTGGGCCCGCTTGATAAAATTATCCCGGATAGAACTAGGTATGAATCGAGATTGTGTCACAAAGTAAAGTTAGCAAGATCATTATTAATAATCAATGGGCTTGGCAAGAAGTTATCATGACTCGTCTTCCTCAAATCATTAGTCAAGAGCCATGTATTTCCCAATCTACTAATAGAGATATGTTGGTTAGGAAGACTAAAGAAGGAAAAGATGTTAAGTTCTCTATTAAGCATACTTGGTTTGACTTGTCTCCAATTAATATCAAAGTCCCTTGAGTCCAACTCATTTGGTTTGGTAAGAGTATCCCACGACATTCGTTCATCTTGTGGTTAGTAGTTAAGGGTCAGTTACTTACGCAAGACCGGATGAGTAATTGGTTGGTCATTTTGAGCATGAGTTGCACTTTATGTAGTGGTGTTTTAGACTCTCACGATCACCTCTTTTTTGCCTGCCCCTTCACTTCAATCGTCTGGTAGAAGGTGCAAGACGAGGGTAATTTCAAGGTTTTGTTAGGATAATGAGATAACACCATATCATAGTGCATAGATAAATTATGGGAAAAAAGTGTCAGATCTATCATAAATCGTCCTCTTCTAGTGGCAACTATTTATGGGATTTGGTAGGAGAGAAATCTTCGGTTGTTTAAAGGTTTAAGGAAGAGCCTCCATTAGGTTGTGAACCAAATTTTTGATGTAGTCAAGTTCAAACTGATTAGCCTTAGATTTAAGGATACTGAAAGGGTACATAAAGTTGCTGAGGAATGGGGCATTCCTAGGAGTTGCAATGTTGAGGCTATGGAAGAAATGGATGATTTGTTTTTATTGGAGTGTTGTCCTCTCCTGTTCTANACTTTCTTAGTCCCCTATTTCATATGTTGAAGCTGAAAATTGATGATTTATATGTTGAAGCTGATCACAGACACATTTTTACACTAAAACCAAATTGACCACACATCTAACCTGCCAATAATTCCACCAAGCTCAGTATCTAGGAATGGTGTAGTGAGACCATAAGCAAGAGTCACTACATAATATCTTAAGCTATTTTATCCAAAGAAATTGTGGATTTGTGAGTTCCAAACATTGGGTTGGATTGCGGTTAACATGCAGAAACAATTCATTATGTAATATGCCAAATTAAAATTACACAATTATTATCCACCTTCTAACCATCAAATTCCAAAAACTATAAAATGCACAACACTTCTTCCATATCTTTACAGCTCAGATCATCAAATCAGTCTGACACAGCAGAACGGAGAACCAAACCTCACAAACTTCGGTTTATCAAAATAAAAATTATAAGAACGGGTGATTTGCAATCTCTCCCTTGAGGTTTGGGGGAGGCCTTCTAATAATTCAAAAAAAAAATTTTTAAAAAAATTTTAACTCCCACACCTCAGGTAGATTAGGCAAATTAACTTCTTCTAACAAATGATTTTTTTGTGTAAAATTACATCAATGCCTTATTGAGGACTCTTTTAAGTGGAGCACTCCTTATAATTCAAAAACCTTTGGGTGTAACGTCAGGGAAGGTCATTGGATTACCCAAAAACACACATGCTCTCCCGATAAATTTGGATACACAATTAGGCAGATACCACAAACTAAAAATTTTGTCTTGAAGAAACGTTTCTGTGTCTTGAGTCATCATTTATCAGTTTTTACAATGATAGTGTGAAAAAGGATTTTCACATTCAACCAGAACAAGACTTTAAATGTATGTATGATACACCATTGATAAGTCCTTAAAATTTTGAATGAGAGAAATAGGATATTCAAGCTTATTTCAAAAAGACTGAACAAAGTAACAAACCTTTTACATAGAAGCCTGTAAAGAGTCATCAGAATCCTTGTTGGCATGATGGTTAACAACGACAGAAATGAATCCAAGCAGACAAAGAAGCCAACATCAATAATCTGAAAAAAAAAAAAAAAGGGCTTAAGAAATCTCAACCATAACGATATAAGTACCCTTGCCTAAATCAGTGTTTTAACTATTTAATCACTAAAATGCCTTAATTCACGCTGTCATTTCAGTGTCAAACTTCAAAAGTTCCAGAATGTTTCTAGGACAAAAGAGAATAATAGCCTATGCAAACTAATCAGTGCACCATTTCAGAAAATTGGTAGAACTCCTAATTTCAAGTACCAAAAGTTCTGTACATGTAATGAAACAGAAAGTAAACCAAAATAAGAGATGAATGATTTAATCATGAAACATAAAGTGAATAGTTATACATCACTTCCTATGAGATTATTCACTTTTTGTTTGAGTATAAAAGGAAAAACCAAAGTTACCAGCTCACATCTCCATGGCAAGCGGAAAATGGTATCATATACTCTCTGCCGTTCTTTCTCATCACCAATTGTTGTTGTGCTCCGCAATGAATTTCCACTATACATTGCATCCATAAAGTACTTCCATGGTGACTGCTCTATCGGATAGGTACCTAACAGAGACAAATTGCAAAAAATCAAAGGGGAAGTAGAATAGATAAATGCTTGATAATAGTCTGTCATAACAACAATCTGTTGCCACCACAACCATTAGTAGCATTGAATTAATTACTTTTTTAAAACATTAAACATGCATCCAGAAACTATAATTTGTGAAAACTGACCATTAAAATGTGAAACAACAGCTTTAGCCTTGTAATTTACTTTAATTTAAAAAATACACATTTAAACACAATCAAGCTCCTTGCAATTAATTCAGCTTACATAAATGAATCTTATGTTTCATTGCACCTAAAGCTATCACAAGTTTAAGATTTCTCTACCAAACAGAAAGGTCAATGTTTCCTCCTATCTATTTCATATCTCAATATTTTGTCTCATGCAGCTAATTCTTACTGGCAACTCCTCAGTCTTTCCTAATCTCCAATATAGCTACAACGATCACTTGTTCCACCTACCTCTAAATAACACAAACATTTTCATTCTGGTAGCCATCTCAGTCATCAATCCCAGCATCATCAGCAAATGATACTTATATCAACAACCATCTTGACGAGAAAATCAACACTAGTATAGTGCACAACCTTAAACGACAGTTGTAGACCCAGAAAACCCTCGATCACCTATAATTCAATTCATTAACATTCAAATTGCTGAATTTTCTATTGATATCCGAACCAAAAAATTAGCTTCATTCAATAGTGTTACATTATGAACTTCTCTTGTACTACAATTAACTCGATCAAATATTATCAAATACCAAATCAAATACAAAACACAACGACAATAAAAGAAGGCTCTTAATTTTCTCACATTGAAGATCATCCGCCATGAGTCGCTTCCAATCCAGCGACTCCACCGTCTCCAACTTCGTGAGAACACCACTTCCACTACCACCACTACTACTCCCATTAGGCAACGCCTCACTCCGCCACTGTTGCTTCTCCGATGGACTCTCCTCCACCACCAAGTCATCACTACCATTCACATTCCTCTGCCTCAAACTATTCCCACTGTCACTACTCGCCGCCACCACTGTACACACACTCCCGCCGTAACTAATCTGGCAATTCAAATCGCTTCTGCTCTCAAAAACAATCCCACTTCCAATTCTCTCATCCGAATCCAACACCGGATGTTCCGGGATCGCAGCGAAACCGGGGGACGCCGGTTTCTTCTTCTTGTGCCTTTTCTTCCTCCGGCTTTTCGGAGAAGGCGAGATTTCGGAATCGGATTTGGTCTGGTTGTGTGAGGGATCGGGGGTGGAGCGAAAGAGGGGAAGCGAATCATCTTCTTTATTATTATCAAAGGGGGAGTTATTATTGATGTTGCTGAGAATATCGAAAGAGAGTTTTCTATCAGAAGATCTCAACCCCATTGAATTCCTAGGGAAGGAAAGAAAGAAGGAAGAAGAAAGTGATGGAATGTTTTTAATTTGGAATTTTGGAGAATTGAACTTATTGTTACATATGGTTAGTTTGTTTTGGTTATGTAACTTAGACTTAACTTGTTATAAACTTTATCATATGATGGTGGGTTACTGGTTTTGCGCACTGAGGGTGACGGAGTTGGACAAATCATTTTATGACACGTGTTGAAGATTTGAATTTTTAAAGGATATCTGGGTTAGTCTAGTCCTGAACAAGGAAAGTAGGAAACAATTTTTAGTCCATTAGGTTTGAAGTCTTACATTTGCCCAAATAGTTTTAAAAAAATAACACTTGTATTCCTAGATTTGCCTGTGTAGAAGGTAGATTGATTCACAAAAAAACCTTGATTTGCTTGGTGTAGTATTTGACACTTTCATTTAGATAGTTTTATTGGTTGGGTGGAAGAATGACAAAAGATTATTTGAAAGAAGTACTTATACAATATTATGATCCAATTAATTTAGGGGTGAGCGGATCCGAGTAACCTAGTCTAAAAGCAAGAACCAAAACTGGAAACAAAAAGTACCGATTCATGAGATGTAGGAACTAAAACCTACCTACAGAGTATTGGTTCCTACCCTAGAACCAACCCTTTTGGGTAGGTTCCGGTTCCAAGATATCTTGTTATGATCAAAAAAATTTCTCTCATCCTTATCCTTTGTCGGTGTTGTCGCCAACCATTTTCGCTGCTTTTTCAATGACTTTTGCATCCAAAACTGAAGAAATAACCACTTGAGAGCCGATTCACCTCTGTCCCAAACCCGTTCTCATTTGTCTGGCTTGATTTTGCTGCCCTTTTTTTGTAAGTAAGTGAACAGATTCACGCAGCAGAAAACAACAATGAAAATCTTAATATTTAAAATTGAATTTGTCATTACTCTAAAACCCAAAGATTCGGGCAACGATTATAACGTTTTGCATGTTAAAACTAGTGTAAACTAACAAATCTATATAAATCACTATAAATCCATACAAGGATTCGGAATACATTACCAACCTTTAGAGGCTCCTTCAATATCTCTGATTTGATCTCGCTCCCGATTCAAAATAGAATCCCACTGACGTCGTCCACACGAAGATAATCCGTAGAACCATCAAGGGATTTGCTAGATCCACTTGATGGATTCAAGAATCCAAGAAGAGAAAAAGATTTTCTCTCCACCAAGTCAAAAACATGAGGGAGAGGAAGGTAGGTGGCTAGGTTTTTTTAATGAATGAATGTTATGTGTTTTTAATTTTAAGTTGCACTTATATAGTGCAACAACTAAAAACCCTATTCCATTTAGGAATAGTCATGGACTCCAACCCTAATCCACCCTTGCAACCAAACACCCCAGTAATGGTATTTTAAGTTTAATTAATTATTATTATAATAAAAATCAATTAATATATAAAAATATATTAACATTTAATTCAATGTTTTAAAACCCGGCCTAGCCAGACCGATTTAACTTGTTCAACCGGGACCCGAAAGCTTCAACGAGCCGGGTTTATATTTTCCTTATTCACCCAAAACCCTAGGATTTGGGAGGATGATCGGCGAACAATTGACGGCCAAGATGTTGGGGCTCTTGAAGAGAAAGTGCCAGTGAATGCAATGGTGGTGGCGAAGTTGATTTCCGGTGAGTAAATCAACTTGAAATCGAACAAAACTGGCAGCGACAACAACTGGCTTTTGTCGGCGATTGGCAAGGCTAACGGGGGTGGGGTGAGGTGGGTTTTGGTTGGGAGGAAGAGGGGAGTAATTTTTGGGTGATGGGGAGGGTTGTCGATGCCGGCGTCGATGACATCTGGCCTGGAATGCCGACTCTAGCATCGATGAGATCTGGCCGAAATCAAACCTATTTCGACCAGATCTTGGGTATATTTTAAGGGGAATGGGCTCAAGGGACGATTGGGGTTGCATTTGGGGTGTCACTGCAGCCAACCAGTCACCTACCGATTTTTATTTAGGGTGCGTTTACTAAATTTCAAACCTATAGGGACTTAATAGTAATTTTTAGGGGTGTATTTACTGAATTTTAGAAGTTTTCGGTCAAACCGGTCAACCCAGGACCCGACAACTTTGCCAGCTTTCACCCCGGGTTGGGTTTTAAAACATTGATTTAATTAACAATAATAATCCATTTAAATATATGCGGCTATGTGCACATATATTTAAATATAATCTCACTAATTTTAATTTTAATATTAAAATTAAATACAAGCAACAACCTCAACAAATTTAATTACACTGTGGGATTACCAAAATACTCTTTCGTCCTAAAAGACGAAAATACCCCTTTCACAAAAACAATTCTTAAATTATCTTCTAAGTGTGTGACCCGTAGGCTCCTTATCATATCGACACTAAGTAGTATCGCAATTAACACTAATTAATTGTCTCACTACATATAGACCAAGATTGGCCCCTAGCAAGGCATCATGACCACCCGATAGATTCGGATTCCGCGAAATCGCTATCTATCAATGATATGGTTACCGTGCAATCAAATCATTTCATCATATGCTATCTCATTGAGGCTGAGGTACAAAAATAGTGTCAACCTCAGTTACGCTCAATGTCTTTGTATTCAGTTACTGGACTAACGACCGTAATAATAAATTAGATTGAGCAACAACTCAATCCTACGATGGCCACAACTTTAGTGCCATTGCCATTCACTGAATTGCGCCATGAGATAACTTCTCCCATACCCGAGAGTGATGAATCCTTTATTGATCCATTATAGTCTCGATACACTCCTCAATGTAACCAATCACTATCGTATTGATAGCTCTGAATAGAACTACGTTAGGCTAGTATCAAACTACACCAATCAATGCACAAGGCGCTCCGGTGATCTCAAGTCTAAGGATCACATGCACCACCATTTGTTAGAGGATTTATTCCATATACACTGGGGTTACCATCTATATGGAATCCTCTAGTGGGTCAGTCTAGTAAACTTGCTTACAACAAACACCCATGTGTCACACCAGGTTGTTGGCAAACAACCTTGACGAGTGAGATAAGTCATTGCCTTTCAATAGAGTCGTTCAATACTATGATAGTCTTACCATATTATCTGTGTCCTTGGTCAAATAATACTGGGGCTACGGACATTTCTAGAATGGCCATCATATGTGATCATAGGGTTCTCACTATCAAGATTTAAAACACTTGATACCCTCGTCATGGTTCTACCATCCTAAAGACATATATCAATACATACAACTATGATTTACATGATATAGCAGAAAATTGTCTTTTATTGATTGATAAATATTATTACAAAGAGTCAATTCTACAATAATTGATTGGCTCTAGGGCACCTAATCCAACACTTTTTTGCTAAATTATGGTCTTCTTCATGTTGCACGACTCCCCGCTCGTTGTTGTTCATTTCCATCAACCGCCCACACCTCCATTGAAGTTTTCTCGCTACACTCCACCCTCGATTCACAACCTATAGCTGACAGAGAAACCTAGGATTTTGAGATCGTGCGCGCACTCGATCATGACTTCGTGGCCACTCCCAATTGTGATTTATGCCTGATCCACCTTCCCCACAACCCATTCGACGGAGAGAACCAACTCACCTGCTTCATCACACCGCCTAGTCATGATCTCAACCTTTGCGTGACACTTCTTCTAATTGTGCATAACAACTCAACCATATTGTGAGTGAAGAGAGAGCAACTCGAGTGGGTTTTGTTTCTTTATTTTGTTTTATTTTTTCCCGATACCGGTTTGCGAGTCGGTCCCCGTTCTAGTTCCTTAAAGTGGTGAATCGGAACCTATCTGCACACTACCAATTGCTTAAATTTGGGAACTGAAACCTACTCTAGACCCAAAAAATAGGGTAGGAATCGGAACTGCAATGCTGGGTACCCTACGGTTCCAGGTTTACCCTATTTTTTAGCTTACCCCTAAATGTATTTATAGCAACTTTACACTCTTTTTCTCTTAAATATATCCTTACAATTAGTATGATAGTCCTTAGTAAATTAAAACTTACATGATACACATGCATTGGCTCGTGGCATCAGAGACTTTCTCAACAAAAGAAGAAAGTGTAATAAAACTTTGACAAATTATTAATTAAGGTGCAAAAAAGGTTCAAATCCTTCGAAAAAGTCATATTTAAGGGTTAGTGACATTAATTATGAATCTAGGTCAACATTAAGTAGATTGAGTTGGACTACGTAATTACTAGTTTAATAGGAAAGAAGGCATAAGAGAGTTGTAAATTTTATAGGATTTGTTGTGCCTAAAAAGTCATGCTGATGTCAGTTCAACAAGTGCCTAAAAGACAAAGTGTACTAGCTGTCAAGCCCATACCATCTCAAAGATATTTATACCAATCTTATCTCATTTTAAGAGATGGACGGATAAGAGCTCTCCATGTGTCAAGGCAACTTGCAAAACACTCATTACATTGACCTCAAAGGTGTATAAATGGGCACCTCTCTTCATGAAAAAAGGGGTTTTGGGGCAGATAAGAGCTGGGCTTAGATTTGAGCTTCATTTCATTATTTTTTCTCTGTACACAAAGATTTTCTCCATTCTTTGTACGCCTTACAGGCAATATCATAGAAATAGTTAGAGAATAATACAACCACAGTGAACGTAGGATTCGCTTTTGAGCATCCGAATACTTTAAAAACCGTCTTTTATTTACTCTTTTGATACATATTTTCATATCACGTGTAACTTTTAAGCCCGCTTAGCATTTTGCATGTGTGAGTCGTTGGTGTCAAAATCAAGCATCAACAGTTTGGTGCTAGAAGGAGGGCATGATTCACATCAGCTTTCTATGTTTTCCCAACAAGTCTTGAAATCTTTACGTCATTTGATGTGAAAATCTAAGCAAGATAAAGTCTGAATTTGGAAAAGTGATAAACACAAAGTTGTAGCCCTTTGAGTTAGCTTTCTGATGGTTTAAGAATCATCCAAATCTGAGATATACAGCTCAAGTTATCACCAAAATACTAAAGTTTGTTCCGTATCACAGTTTTAGGATCGCATGGCCAGATCGCACCCATTAAAGCTCTCAGATCGTGTGGCCAGATTGCAGATCA